CAGGAGAGATCATGACTTATCATCTGATGGGTGAGTGAGGGAGACAGGGCGCGAGGGTCCTGAGACCAGGAGGGAGCGGTACCGCCTGGGCCCTCTGGCCCATCTGACTCAGGGACCTGGCTGCTCTTGCATCTGCTGGGATCTTCCAAAGCCTTACACACAGAGGACTTCATTCATCATTCATTCATTCAAGACATACTTCTGCAGTGCCTATTAGGTGCTAGGTAGCAGTCTAAGTGGGCTTCCCAGGTGCTGCTAGTGATAAAGAACCTGCCTGCAATGCAGAAAACTGAAGAGACCTGGGTTTGATCTGTGAGTTGGAAAGATCCCCTGGAGGGGGCATGGCAACCCACTCCGGTATTCTTGCCTGGAGAGTCTCATGAACAGAGGCTCCTGGTGGGCTACAGTCCACGGGGTAGCAAAGAGTTGGACACACCTGCGGTGACTAGGCACACACGCACAGCAGTCTAACTATTGGGGCTATTGCTGCTGTTTAGCTGCGAAGTCGTGTCCAACTCTTTTGTGACCCCATGGGCTGTAGACCTCCAGGGCCCTCTGTCCGTGGTATTTCCCAGACAAGATTACTGGAGTGGATTGCCATTGCCTTCTCCAGGTGAACTGCCCTATTCAGGGATCAAACCCATGTTTCCCGCATTGGCAGGCGGATTCTTTACCACTGAGCTTTCAGGGAAACCCAAGCATTGGGGACAGGCACTAAAGAAACAGACAAAAAAAGAGATTTTGTTCTGCAGACAGACAGTCCATGTGATCACAAGTAAATTATCATACCAGTGTGTCTTTCCAGTTAGCGCTAGTGGTTAAGAATCTGCCTGCCAATGTAGAAGACATGATACATGTGTTCGAAACCTGGGTCGGGAAGAACCACTGGAGAAGGAAATGGCAACCCAGTCCAATATTCTTGCCTGGAAAATTCCATGGACAGAGGAGCCTGTTGGGCTACAGTCCATGGGGTTGCAAAGCCTCAGACACAACTGAGCAACCACACAGATGTGATAGAATCTGTATAGAGTGATCCAAGTTTATTGAAAAAATGAGTGAACAGGGCTTCACTTCAGGCCTTCCCTTAAGTTCTGAACTTCTGGGAGGTCAGGAATATAGACAGGGAAGCTAAAGAAGACATCCTGGTCAGCCTCTCATCTCCATCACTGCTGGTGACCTTAAGTTTTTTTGTTTCGTTTTAATTTGGCTACACCAGGTCTCAGTTGGAGCAGGTGGGATCTCATTCCCTGACCAGGGATTGAACCTGAACGCCCTGCATTGGCAGTGCAGCCTTAGGCCTTGGACCACCAGGGATGTCCCCCAGAGGGGCTTTTGAGTTGAGCCCTGAAGAATCAGAAGGAGAAGCCCTCGGTGGGTTTGCAAGGTGGTCCTGGCAGGGCCCAGCAAGGGAAAAGTCTGAGTAGGGGATGCTGTGGAAAAGAGGGTCCAGGCCTTAAGCCCACAGTGAGGACTTTAATAGTCACAGTTAGGTCTAAGCCATGGAAACGTGTGGACAAAGGAGGGATCTAGCTGGACTTGAAGAGCTTCGGGGTGGCAGAGGGAGACAGAGGTGGAGGCAAAGACAGCAGCTGGGAGAGAAATAGCTTCTAGATACATCTTTTATTTATTTACGGCTGTGCTGGGTCTTCGTTGCTGTGCTCAAGCTTTCTCTAGTTGCAGTGAGTGGGGGATACTCTCGAGTTGAGATGCGTGGACTTCCCATTGCAGTGGTTTCTCTTGTGTAGGCTCTAGGCACACAGGCTTCAGTAATTGTGGCTCTGGGCCTCTAGGGCACAGACTCAGTAGATGTGCCACGACTTAACAGTTGCACCATGGTGTGTGGGATCTTCCCAGACCAGGGATCAAACATGTGTCTCCTGCGTTGGCAGGTGGATTCTTTACCGCTGACCCAGCAGGGAAATCCACATGCTTGAAAACTTTGTATTGAAAATAGCAGATAGGGACAGAGAAACTTGCACAAGTCCGAAGTATATAGCTCAATGAGCTTTCACAGAATCTAGGTATACTTGTCACAAGTGCTTGGATCCAGAAACACAGATCTAGGGAGTTCCCTGGTGGTCTGGTGGTTAGGATTCTGGGCGTTCAGTGCCCAGGTTCAGTCCCTGGGCAGGGAGCTGAGATCCTGCAAGTGTCACGGTGTGACCAAACACAAACACAAAAACCCACAGACCTCGTGGCCACCTTTTAAGGACAGAGCCAACAGGATTTAATGTGGGTTGAACATAGGAAGAAGGAGAGAATGAGGCATCCAAGAGGACCCCATGATTTTGACCTGAGCACCTGGGAGCATGGACATGCACTTTTCTGAGATGGGGAAGACCAGGGAAGGAGGGGAACAGGGCAGGTAGAGCTGAGCAGTGGATATTTTGACTTGAGATACTTATTAACATCCAAGGGAAAACGTCAATTGGGAAGTTGAATACATGAGTCTGGAGGTCAGGGGAATTTTTTCTTTCCTTTTAATATTTATTTATATAAAATTGCATTTAAAAAGAATAAAATAAATAAAAAAAAATTTTTTTTAATTTATCTTATTTGGTTTGCTGGTTCTTTGTCGTTCCGGCATGCAAACTCTCAGTCGTGGCATGTGGGATTAGTACCCTGACCAGGGATTGAACCCGGGGCCTCCTGCCTTGGGAGCTGAGGTCATTAGCCACTGGACCATCAGAGAAGTCCCAGGGGAATATTCTGGGCTAGAAATAATCTGCTTACACGGTGATTCTGCCCTGAGTTGCACACACAAGACCATTGCAACCCTAAGGGTTGTATCCATATGAGGGGTTGTTCTGATGAATGAGTGAATCAGCAGGTGAGGTCAGGGACTTGGTGCTGACCTCTGATTTCTTCCTGCCAGCCCCCTTCTGCCTGCTGACCCTGCTGCTGCCACCTCTCAGTTTGGGAGCCCCCATGTCCACAGCTGAGTCTATCACCCAAGCCTATAATCTGGCGCTCGACATGCAGTTGCAGACTTCAGCCCTGATGCAGACTTACGTGAGTGACAGGGCATGATCAGGGGGTGAGGGGAGGAGGCTGTCCCCCTCCTGGCCTAGCCCTGGGGAAGGGAGGCAGAACAAGGCTGGAAGAAGCCTCCTCCATGGGTCCTGGGGTACAGAGGCTCTGCCAGCTAGAGACACGCCCACAGGAATGATGCCACTGATGGCTGGGTGACCTTGGGCAGGTCATTCCTTCTCTCCCTGTCTTAGCTTCCACATCTGTCAAATGGGAAGGTGATCGTACCTTGGCTGACCTCTCAAGACTGTTAGAAGATTCGAAGGAAGCACCTAGAGGAAAGTTTTTTCCAGGCTCATGAGTCTTTCCATAGTCACCTCCTGCCCTATGCTTTCCTGAGCCTATGCCATGCTGGGAGATTTAGCCTCATGATCTTACTGTCTCCTAAGATAGCTCTAAGAGGTAGAATTATGACCTGTTTTACCGATAAGAGAACTGAGGGGGCTTTTTTAGACTTTAAAAATTTTTTATATTTTTATAATTTTATTTATTTTTGGCCGTGCTGGATCTTTCTTATTTACTTTGGGCTCTTCTCTCATTTTGGGGAAGGAAATGGCAACCTAATCCAGTACTCTTGCCTGGAAAATCCCATGGACGGAGGAGCAATTATGCTATAGACCATGGGGTGGCAAAGAGTCGGACAGGACTGAGCGACTTCACTTCACTCACTTCACACTCCATCACTGGAGAAGGAAACAGCAACCCACTCCAGTATTCTTGCCTGGAGAATCCCATGGACAGAGGAGCCTGGCGGGCCATGGTCCATGGGGCCGCAGAGAGTTGGACACAACTGAAGTGACTGAGCACTGAGCACCTCTCTGGTTTTGGCGAGTGGCGGCTACTCTCAAGAGTTGCAGTGTGCAGGCTTCTCACTGTGGCGGCTTCCGTTGCTGAGCACAGGCTCCAGGGCTCACAAGGCTTCAGTAGTTGTGGCGCGTGGGCTCAGCAGTTGCGACTCTCTGGCTCTAGAGCACAGGCTCAGAGGTTATGGCCCACGGGCTTAGCTGATCTAGGACATGTGGGAGCTTCCTGGATCAGGAACCCGTGTCTCCTGCATTGGCAGGAGGATTCTTACCCACCGAGCCACCAGGGAAGCCCTCTTTTTGATTTTCTGATGTGGACCATGTTAAAATGTCCTTATTGAGTTTGGTACCATACCGGTTCTGTTTTATCTGTTGGGTTTCTTGGCTGCGAGGCATGTGAGATCTTAGCTCTTCAACCAGGGATTGAACCTGCAACCCCTGCTTTGGAGGGCAGAGTCTTAACCACTGGACCATGAGGGAAAGGCCAGGAAACTGAGCTTTAGAGGGGGAATAATTTACCTGAGGTCACAAAACTGTCTGGAAGTTCAAAGCAGCAGCCTGCTAGCTGGGTCTGACCCACAGATGCTTTGTCTAGGCCATGGATGCTTGTTCAAATTTTGCACATGAAAACCTGTCAGAAACAGGCACAGGGGTGCTGTTGGCCTCCAGTCACTGTGGCCCACTCCCACCCCATCTGCGGCTTCTCCAGATGATGTGCTCTACCTGGCCCCTGGAATTTGTGACTCTTCCACTGAACTATATTCTAGGTCCACGTGAATTTGCCTAACCTAGTTTTTCTTTTTAAAGTCGAGTTTCTGTCTTGTGGGCTGTGCTGGGTCCCTGTCGCTGTGCTCAGGCTTTCTGTAATTGTAGCAAGCGCGGGCTCCTCTCCTGTGCGCTGCTTGGGCTTCTCATTGCGGTGGCTTCTCTTGCACGAAGCGTGGGCTCTGACTGAGGGCTGAGGAGTTGTGGTCCCCAGGCTCAGGTGCCCCACGGCATGGGGAATCTTTCTGGGGCAGGGATTGAACCCATATCCCCTGTTTTGGCAGGCAGAGTCTTAAGCACTGAACCACCAAGGAAGTCCCTTCCTCTAATTTCTAGTCTCATATCTGCCACTATCCTCTGGGTAACTTTGAGGATCCTGAGTTTCCCCATTTGTAAAATGGGCATGTAGGATTAGGTGATCTACCAATTACAGAACTGATCAGTGTGGACTACAATTCTGTGGGTCTAGGTTTGTGGAGGTGAGAAATTTATGCAGGAGGCATTCATTAAATAATAATATAATTCAATTCAATATTAATAATTGCATATTAATGATTATTTAAAACTGAACAAATATTAACCACTGAAGAATGTGAATAGAAAGGAAATACGGCTTCAACCACATTGTCACTAATATATTTAGCTTGCAAATACTGTAATAAGTAACATAATTTTAGTGTTCATGATATTAATATAAATATGTCATTAGTGAATGATATTAACAGCCTAATCATAAGCCAAGTGCTAAGTGCTTTATGTCTATTACATCTTATCATCTTCCCCGTTACAGTGCCATGTGGGAATTACTGAAGCTGTGATTCAAAGTTGCACAACTTGTATGTGGAGGAGGCTGAGTGGAAGCCTAACAGTACTGGGGCTCTGTGCTAGCACATTTCATCAACTCCCTGAGAGGCAGGGAATGCTGACTCCCCCTAGGAGGAGGCCAGTCTCATGGAAGGCAGATGTGAATTCAGGGGCACCCTAGGGCAGCGTTTGGGTCCCCTCACTCTCATCTGCCTCTGTCTCTCGTGCAGCTCGAGCACCAAGGTCGTCCGTTTAGTGGTCCCGGCTTCTCAATCCCTGAACTCTCACTCAGAACCCTGCCTTCGACCGACATGCCCTTCGAGATCTGGCATGGCCTGGAAGATGGAGAACGTCTGAGCCTCACCCAGCAGGCCTTCTGGTCCTTCAGCCAGCACTTCCAGCTTGCGAAGGATGACCAGAGTGACCTGAACCCTGGCCATTCCATCGTGGTGGATCAGCTTGAGGAAGCAAGACTCAAGGCCAAAGGCCTAGCGGGCAACTTGGCTGGCATCATGATTGCCTTGGACCTGCCCACCCCACCAGCAAACACCCTCCTTGGTAGTGTTCCCTTAGGAGACTCGGTCTTTGAGAGGAAATGTCGAGGGTATGTAATAACCCGGGACTACAGCTTTTGGACAGACCGAGCTGTGACTTTCTTGGGTGAGCTCAAGGCCAAATACTCTGAATAGAGGAGGTGGGACTTCTGTTAGAGGCTGCAACCCTTTCCCCTTCAGCGGATTCTTTTTTTTTTTTTTCTCACAAGGGAATCTTTTCTGCCTTGCTCTTGGCTAGAAAGGAGACAAGTGTTGTCTAGCAGACAGGGCTTGTGTACCACGTACTTGGGAACACTTCCTGGGAACCAGGCCTCTAGTCCTATGCCTGGGTCTTCCTGCCTAAGTCCTGTGGACTCCCTTCCAGATCTGGGTGGGACTCCATGGACAGCATCTCATGAATTCCCATTCCAGCGGTACTGGTTGCTCACTTCCTGGGTGGAAAGAAATACCTCTCTGAAGACGCTTCACTTACAGTCCATGGGGTCACAAAAAGTCGGTAGTGACTGAGTGACTAACACTTTTCACTTTCACTTCCCACTCTATATGGGAATACAGTTGGTCCCCTTCCTGTCATTTAGGGGAGGTCCAGGGATTGCCTTCTTGTCTCTATCTACCTCACTTCCTCTGTGAAGATATGGACATTCTGAGCAACGAGGCTCCCTTTTCCCTGGGGTTCATTTCCTCCTTGAGACTACCTCTCTGACTGTGACCACTGTTCCGACCTCTCACCTTCAGGTGCTTCACTTCCTAGGCAATGGATGTCTGACTCTTGAAAAGCTAAGGACTCAAGTCACATCTGTTTCTTGCTCAGAACACATCCACTTTGGGATGATAGATGGCATCGCTGGCCTGGGGCTCTCCTGAACCTCCTCTTTATAGTGTGGCTTTTGCAGATGATTGGGGGGACAGGCCATATCCCAAGGATCTTATTCTCCTTAAATGTGTCTCCCCATTTTCAACGACTATATATACTGGTAAATGCAATGGTCATTTTAAACATTTTATTTAGAAAGAATCAATTTATTCTCGTAAATAAAACTCTTCAAAGGGGTGAGGTTTTTTTTTTTCTTTTCTCCAAAAACCTGACTTGAGGAGAAGGGAAGGTGTAGGATCAGGGCAGAGGGAGGGGAAGGGGTGGAGGGCATCAAAGGGAGAGGGTGGAGGGCCACAGGGCTGGGATGGGGACAGGGAGAGCAGCAGGTGGAGTGACCCTGCGGGAAGGGGGCTGAAATGTGTCAGGAGGAGCCCTTCCACCACAGGGCCAGCAGGCATGTTCCTGGCCAGGAAACGACAGAGAGAAGGACAGAGGCAAACAGAGTGACAGGTGTCCCTTCCTTGAGATGAGATGGACATATACACAGGCTCACAGGGGGCCCAGAGGAAACAAGAGACGGGAAGACAAAGAGAAGCTCAGAGAGGCAGACCGGAACGATGGGGAAGCAAGGACATGACAGATACGGGAAGTCGTAGAGGGAGACAAGAAGGACCCAGAGAGAAAAAGAGATGGAGAAGCGTACAAAGAAAACAGAGAGGCGGACACAGTCGGAGGACACAGAGACGTTGACAGAGATGGGGAAAGATGGAGATGGCCAGGGAGGGGACCGCGAGCTAGGCCGCACGCCCGGCGCTCAGGCCGGGCCCCCAGGAGACAGCGGCCCAGGTCGGCCTCAGTGCAGCTCGAGGTAGAGGCCGCACCCACGGAAGCCCAGCACCTTGGCCAGGAAGACGCCCTCGGAGGCAGTGGAGGCGGCGGCCGCGGGTTCAGGCCAGGGCCCATGGCTCTGGGTCCCCCGCGCGGCCAGCACGGCCTCCACCGGGGCGCCCAGAGCCAAGACCTGGCACGCTGTGTCTTGCAAGCACCTCAGCAGGCTCAGTGCCCACAGCGGGAGCATTTTCAGCTTGGCCTGGAGGCGGCGCATAAGGTCCAGCAGCGGAGGGGCTGTGGGGCAGAGACCAACCGGGAAAGGGTGACTGCAGCGAAAAAGGGAGGTGGGGTCACATGGGGAGCACAGGATGCAGCTGGTCCAACCGCTCCTGGGAAAGGACCACTCTCCGGAGCCCTGGGGAGCGCTAAGGTTGAGAAACGTGGGTACAACCCCATGGTTCTTGGATACCTACTGTGTGCTGCGCCTGGCAGCAGGTACATTCTTATCCATGCTGTTTGACCTTTACAACTCAGCAAAGGAAACATTTCACAGAGGAGGTAACTTGAGGGTCACACAGTGGGTAAGACTAGCTTCAAATCTGAGACCACTCTCACAGGTGAAAAGGAGGCCAAAGAAGGCAAAGACCCATTCCTGACTCTGGGGAGTGGGTCCAAGGGGGCCCTAGCTTTCTGTGGGTCTCTGCCTCTGAAAGTCAGGAAAAGCCAAAGTTTGGCTTCCTACCCAGGGAGACAAGGAACACGGAGGTTCCCCTCCTGCGGAAGGTCAGAGGAACCCCCCTCTCCCTCTAGGCAAGGCCACCCTCTTCCTGAAGCAGCTCACTTGGCTCCTCCGGGAGCCCTGAGAACAAGCTTACTGACCTCACTCCTACTCCATACAACATTTCTTCCATACTTACGCGCCTGACCCAGGGAGGACGAAGGGACACCGAGAGGGACAAGGGCCTTTCCATGGTATTCCCGCAGCGAAGCTCCTGGGAAAACCAGGGGCTCCTTGTCTGTGGAGTCACCTGAGACAGGTACCAACTCTTCCCCTGTTCTCCAAATGTGCTCCATCCCAGGCTCTCTCCAAGCTGAAACACCCCAAATTTACCTCCCAGATCTCCACAGATTCCTGATCACCAAATCCAGACCTCTCTCTTTTCTCTCAGAAGCTACTAACACCCAACTCCTCTTCCCCTAAAGCCTAGATTTCCTCCTCGGAAACATTGGGAACCTGCTCACCCAATTTAACCCCTAAAGATCCACCGGACTGCCCAACTTCATAGTGCTCACAGACCTTCTTTGAGACACTGCTTCAGAACCCCTCCGTGGCCCCAAATGTCAACTCTGTTCCCCACAGAGCTCCCTCTACTCCAAGACAGCCTCCTAATGGGTCTCCAGGTAAACCTGGGCAATCTCCCAGATTCCCTGGGATTCTACAATCCAGCCTGACATCTCCATAGAACTCAAGATGGGCTCATGTGCACCGCCCCCTGCCTCCCAGCTTCCCAAGCTGCTTTCCATCCCTAATTGTCTGGAATCCCTTGGGCTCCTCTTCCCAGGGAAACCAGGTCCTCCAAGATCCCACACAGATTCAGCAGGCCTGGAGGGTCTCTTCATATCCAGATCTTACCCCAGCTTCCCCCTTTTCAGACCCATCCATGGGGGGAAAGGAGCCCTCCAGTGCTCCAAGGGAGGGGCCTTGGGGGCTGCAACAGCAGGCGGGGATGGGGGTCTGCAAGGGGAAGCAGGGTCGAGGAAGGAAGGCCAGTTCCCCAGGGTTGAGAGGTAACAGGAGAGAGGGCAGGAGATGAGGAGTTTGGCGCAAAGAGAGGGTGAGGCTGGGGGCGGGCAAGGTAGAGAGAGGCCTGGCTGAGGATGAATGGACTGGGAGCTGCCCAGGTCTGGGGGTGAGGAGGAGCCGCATGAACCCACCTCACACGTGTCCCGGGAGCCATCTCTCCCTTCTCGGCAGCTCCCGGCGGGTCGGCGGCCATCGGAGACGGGGGGGGCCGGGCGGCGCGGGGCGCGGAACGCTCAGAACGCCGGGGTCCACGGCCCCCCGAGGGCGCTCGGCCCCTCCCTCCAGCGGAGGCCGGGACGGCGGCGAGTGCAGATGGGGGGCGCCGGGGGCGAGGCCCTCCCACGGGCTGCGGCGCGGCCCTTCCAGGGGGAGGTCCTGCTCTGGGGGGCTCAGTCCCTCAGTACCCCCAGGCCAACGGGGGCTCTTCGGGCGCAGGGTGCACAGCTTCTGCCCGGGCCCCACTCAGTGCGGGGGTCCGAGTCCCAGCTCCCCTCCCCCACCCCTTCCCGATGCCCACTGGCCAGGGGTCCAGGGCCAGACCTGCGACCCCCACCGTTCCGGGGTTCAAGCCCCGCCCACCGCCGGTTCGCGGGGAGGTGGGGTGGGGTTCCTATAACCTGCCCCCCTCCCCTGGGCCCGCCCCTGGTCTGCAGTCTCTGGCGCTACTGCTACGGGGCGAGCTGAGGAGGGTGAAGGAAGCTGCTGAGCCCCGCCCCCCCAGCCTGCGCGCGCCCCCGCCCTCTGCCCCTCTACCCAGCGCTTGATCCTCGGGAGATAGAGATTTAATTAAAATTTAAATAAATCCCTTTCCTCAAGCTGGAGGGTGGAAAGAAAGTATGTAAGGGGACAGGAAAGGGGTGAGGGGCAATCGGCGTGCCTCAGCCCCGCTGGTCTCCTGGCCTAGCGCAGCTCCGGTTCGGGGCCCTGGCAGCGTCTCTCACGCCTCGTGAGCTCCATCCTTCTTTCTCCTCTCTTGCTCCTCACCTCCTCTCTCTCCTCCTTCCCTCTCCTCTCCCCTCCCCTCCCTCCTCCTCTTCCTCCTCTTTACTCCCTCCTCCAAGAGGAACCCAGCCCCCTGCCGCCTCGTTCCCCCACCACCTGCCACTTTTCAGGACTAACATTCTCAGGGCACGACGGAAGTAGTAGTCCCAAGTACGGTGGTGCTACCTTGGGATCAAAGGGATGCTGGGGTCAGTGGGAACTACAAACTAGATGGCGGAGGACGTGCCAAACCGGGAGTGGTGGATGCCGGGAGTTACAGGCCGGTTGCCGCAAGGCCCCGGGTTGCACAGCGTAAGGGTGGGCGAACGATGACTACAAACAAGATGGCGCAAGAGGGGCGGACACCTGATGGACACGTGTCCATCGTACGAGGTGCGATGGGAATAGTAGTTTTTAGCCTTCTACAGTTCCTTAAGAATGGCAGGGCCAAGAGGATAAGGAGACTACCATAAAAATGGCAGGCAACCTAGCTTCTCACGGTCGCCTCACTACCACCTCGGCACCTCGCCCGGCTGTATTATCGAAATTCCCCTCCTCTTGGCGCAAAGCTTGACGGGAGTTGCAGTCTTCCCGCCTCCCTTCTATTATCTTTGACCAGACAATGGAAGGGAAAGGGGGCGGGGGTCTACCCGCAAAGATGGCCGCTGGAGGAATGTGGAGACGGTGACCTGGGACTTGGTGTTCATTCGCTAAGGATACTGCCTGTGGAAAAAGGAGAAAGGACTACAATAAAGATGGCGACCTAGCACATGCCCTAGCCAGTGCCTGGGGGAGGACGTAGTCCCTTCCTTAGCTGAACAGAGAAAGGACGTGTGCTGGTAAAATGTGCATCACAGCCGACAGTCTAAACTGAGAGCTGACGGAAACGGAGAGTCTCTGTCCTTCTCCTCGCCAACCGCTTCTGACGACCTGCCGGGGCATGTAGTCTCATGCCTTCACTCGCTAGTGGAGGGGAAGAATTTCTGTCGCCAGTGGGGATCAATGCGGGTGAGGGAGAAAAGATGTCCGAGAGATCCAGGAATCTATAATACCCACCTCCCCATGTGGCGAGGACTTCAACTTTCAGGGGAAGGCTCTTAAAAGGAAAGCAACAGTAATCAGTATTGTAGCGACAAGGGAGGCGTGGTTTTTGCCGACAGTGCTTGTCATGCTGTTCTCCCTTGGAAAGCTTCGACTCCTCACACCTGATGCTTGTTCCCCCAAACCTCAGAGAGTCGGTAGCTTCCAAGTCGGGAGAGCTCCAGGGAAAAGGCTCTGGAGTCATACAAATCCTCACCCCTCCTTGGGAAGTCACCAAACCTCGATTTTTCTCATCTGAAAAGTGGGGATAACGATACCTACCTCGAAGGAGAATGTTATCACGGTGTTCACGAAAATGCCCACCTTCAGGGCCTGATACACGGCACGTGTTGGTAGTTCCTTTCTCGAGGGCTCTTCCAGCCCACTGTTTTGGGATCGCAGGTGTCCGTCGTGCCGGAAGGAGTTAGCTCCTGGGAGAAGAAAACTGCCAGGCAGTCTACCTCATCTTGAGCTGCTTCCCCTGCTCCCCCGCCCCTCATCTGGGTCCTTCGGTGTCCACTCCCGATTACTGCTCCTAGGGGGCGCCCATTCTCCGTTTGACTGAGGTCCAACAACCTGAACGGATTCCTCAACCTGAAGTGGGTGCTGCAAATTGCCCACTCAATCTTGGAGGCACCCCGGCCCCCTCGTTTCGCCCCCCACCCCGTCCCCGCTACCACCTCAGCTGCCAGGCAAACCGGCCTGCTTCCTCCCACTGTACCTTCTGACCTGCCTTCTTAGTCTTCCTCCTCTGCCTGCAAAATGATTCACTTTTGAGCCCTGTGGTTCGAGGGCCCTGCGGAAGATTTGGTGAATGTGGTTTTTCTGGCGGAGAATTGAACGCAGGCTGGCTGGTGTGATGTGAAGTCCTGAATTTGCAGGGACTGGCCTCAGGCTGAACTGAGAGGCTCCTTCTAGCTCACAGTGTGTTTAGGAAATCCTTGACTCCCGGAAAATTGTTTGCTCTTCGGCCTCACTGCTTTAGTTTGGGCTTGCATGATTCCCCAGGGATTTTTCTGGAGCCAGTCCCTCTACCGATTAGCTTCTTCCCTTCCACCCTTCTCACCGCTGCACCCAGTTAACTGTCCATCATTCAAGTTTGTGTCCCAAAGAAGCCTTCATGTGTGTAACTCCCGGAT